TTAATTCAAAACTTGTGATGAAAACTAAAAATAACCGGATCGCCGGAGATTTCATGATAGAGATGTTACTGGGATGTTTCCGCACGCCAAAGGCGACTATGCCAAGCCCTTCGATCTTGGACTGCACACCCACAGCTAGCACCCCTCTACCTTGTTCGACGTTTGCCTCCAGCCTGCTTATTTTGAAATTGTGATTATAAATCGTATTTCTTGACCTGAAGTACAAGCTAGAAATACTGAAAGTGAATTTGTAGTTTGCGACCATACTCGAACTATGCCTCTAATGCGTTTTTACATGTTTGCAAACGCAAAAATTCATATTGTGACGAATCACAGTGTATGTGTGTGTGTCTGTGTCTACCTGGATATTTCAACTCAGCAACCAAGCAAGCATTGGTGCAGAAATTTTGCCAGTAGTTTCCGTCGCCAAGTGCCACATCAGGACCGCGGTACTTGCCTTTTACACACGTCTGAGCCTTGCGTACGAGCAATTAAAAGTTTTGGCAGGGAAACTGTTAGCTCGCGAACCAGAAAAGCTGGAAAGCTGAAATTTTCTTTTGACGGAATGTTCCCCAAAAACGCATAATCACACCAGCTAGGCAAGTGCATTCCATTTTAGGGTTTATTACGCTCACGCCTGACGATGCTGTGCCAGGCTTTATTCACATGCAGCAGCTTAAAGCTATAGCTTTTGGCTTTTGTGATTCTGGAAAATTCACGCACTTTCACTGCAGCACTTCTTTATTTCTGCAGCAAACAAATTTGCAGGGTGAGGTCGGGTCCGTGTCTAAGAAAGATTTCCAATATATCCTTGGTGAGCTAGGTGATATTCGTGATAAAGCAATTGTGGATGAGATCTTCGCAGAAGCAGATGTGGATGGAGATGGTGTACTGGATTACGATGAATTTACGTTCATGGTGCGAAATTACATGTTGGATGAAGATCTTGCTACCTGCAAATGTCCGTGAAAAGTGATCAGTTTAAGTCTCATGATGAGTCACTTTAGAAAAACCGGATTTTTTTTTGAAACATATCAGTCCATTTTTGTTAGACCTTTATCCACGATGTCGACGATTAGTCAAATTTTTCAACGATAGTCAAATTTAATCTTGCCAGTAAATTTGGGGAACTTTTCAGAATTTCTAGGGCAAATATTTCTTTGCAACTTCTGCGCATTTGTAATCTTTTTTTGTGCTGAATAAACGTTACACTTCTGCTTTTTAAGTTATTTTTTCCAAAAAGCTTAAATCAAAGATGAGTACTGGCTTTAATGATAGATCAAAATTTAGCAACAAGCCGAATGCCATGCACAACTGCTTAGGGTCCAATTCCAATTTCAATTTAAGGGCAAGCCTTCCTTCTTGCTCAGCTCAACTCTAGCCACGCCATTCGGTTATTGATAATCAAGGGCAGATTAGAAGCTAAGACTTAAAATTAATTTCAAGTTACAACGTTCCCTCAGTTACGGTTCTGTGCTCTTTTCAGTTTAATGATAGTACGAGACCGAAATAGGTCAAAAATTATCGTTTTTTTTTACCGCTTTTGGAAGTAGAAAATTATAATTGTAGTAGCATAACAAAGAGGAAATTACTGAAAGTGAATCAAGTCCACGTTCTCTTTTCATTCAATTTAAATTTGCGACGATACGGTCTGGATC